AGCTCATAGATAAAATCATATAGAATTACATTTGAAATAGATTTTTAGTAAATTTTCCCTTGAAATAGCATTACACGTAATAGCAGTCGTCGATATATTGACTTTACAATAGAATTTAATGCTCGATTTTGCAACATCAAATGAAAATTATTTTATGCTACTAAAATTTTGTAGAAAGCATTGCTTATTTATATAACTAGTACAAATTTTGTAAGACATTTCTTTTAATAGAGGCAAATATTGCTTCGATTCAAACTGTCGCCATCTTCTTGCTTGGCGCCAAGTGCGCGCGCACTTCCCTCTCGAGTGATTAATCGCAATACGAAATTCATATAATGCGGCCTGCCAGCGTAAATAGAATTTGTAAATGCAAAAGAATCGTACGCCTGATGACTTTTGAATGTAACTGTTTCAGACGACATGTGCGTCTAAGTTTACAAAAGAAATCCATTGGTTTTGTTGAACTTTCGCAATACGGACGAACGTATGATTATACTTGACGACATGGGGTGACACATCAGTCGTGCTTCGTTCGTTGTTTGAACGACATCGTCGCGTACGAGGTTAACGCGTCCAATAAAATGTAGTGACAGTGAATTATCGTGAGTTCGGTCTTTTCGTTGAGTCTCTTCGAAAGTCTTGAAGCAAGATATATGCGCTGTCACAGTTTTATTAATACTTCTCGTCCGAACGAACTATTGAGATGTTTCTCATACAATTATGTTAGGCAAACTGAAAATTTTAAATACAGCGTACAATGATAAACATAAAATTCAGAATTTAGTTTTTAAGTTATATTGCGCCCTTTAGATCATCCAGAAATGCAGTACAAATTCAGAAGCATCAGTGTTTTCTATCACGTAGTGAAAGCAAATTTAGATTGTTGGCAACGCTTCTTTTTTCATAGACGAAAAGCGTCTTGAAATTATATTATGTTATAAATGAATGGATAAAAGTTATAATGGTGTAAGTTACTTCTCGGGCAAGTTGTGACGTACATTACTTTCTTCAACTAAATCTCTGCGGCTTATCCTTAAGCAGGTATTAAATTATCTTTCTTCAGTTTTCTATATCGTTCCCTATTACGACTGTTTGAAGACGGCAATTTTCGTTTTTTATTGTAAAATATAGTAAACAAAAGCAATTTTTTGACAATGATGTAGTAAACATCGTGCGTGCAAATACTTTGTAGTGTAATTTTATTTTTCCGCAAATTCTGAAGAAATCTCTTTTTTAAAACATTTTCACGAACTGTTTTACATGCTGCTGTCGCGTTTGCCAGGATGGACTTACAAGATACATTACACGGTAGCTAACGATACTGTTGTACAACAAACGGTGAGTAACGTTCAATATTTATTGTAGCATGATTTGTTCCACACTTCGCACATTATTTATTTTCCATTATTGTGTTATTTTCTGCCATTTATTTTACTCGAGAGTCATGTTATAAAATATTTCCAAAAGTTGTATAATTAATATCAGATTTCACGAAAAGGTGCGTTATTTACGTGCAGTGAATACGCGTGGATAAATATTTTAAAAAATGAAGCACATACGATGAGATATGTTCAACAGGTGTTTAAAAGACGATTAATGTTTAATGATTCTCGTATTTTAGTTCGCTGTATTTCCTCAAACTATCTACGTTTTCGTACATTACTAAACGTACTTACATAGAAAATTGTTATAACTAATAGTATTGAAGCTACACATTTTCCACCTATTTCTTAATTTCCTGTTTTCTGTTTAATTCAAGAAATGAAGATCTATCGTATTCACAAAGTAATGAAGTGTAAATTAAGTATTATGCTCTTCGTGATTTATACCATCCTTTTTTTAGTCTTTTTAATCCCCTGATGCAACCGTTTAATTAACTTTGTCTTCTTAACGCACACACACAAGGAACGACCAATCTTCTGGTCTTTCCGTTGCTCTTTTTTCCGATTACTGAGCTCGGTTGCTTCATAAGCTACAGTTATCTCCGTACCCTGAAGGTAGAGATGGAAAATTCGATCTATTTGTCCGTTGAAAGGAGGAATCGCGTTGATCTCCGATTGCATGGAATGGAGAATATTTAATTAACTGCGACGGATGTCGATCGATCGTCTCTAAAAGTGTGGTTTAAGACTTCTCATCTCTCAACTCTGTGACGTATGTTTTGTTCGTTTGTTCTGATGGTGATGAATGAAACGGGCTAAAGGAGAATTCCACCGTGTCGATTCTATTTTGTTTTTAGTTTTGGGGCTGTTGCTCGTACGTTTTGAAGAAGTAAACAGGCGGCAAATAGGATTTGTACGGTCTTCCCGGCATTCACGAGGATTGGCGTTCGATTCGGAATTGATTCTATCCTGTTTGATGTATGAGCGATTGAATTTAAATCGATGATACTTGAATTCAATATGAATATAATAAACGACTGACTGACTGAACCAAAGTTAATTAAGTGATACTATTTAGACGTTTAATAAATAAGTTACAACAAGAATGTAATTCCTAGTGGCATTAAACATTCACCGTTCGCGAAATAAACGGGCCAATAACGTCTATTTTCTCGTTCTAATTCCTGTTCCTATTTGAGCAGACGCTTCCTGTGTATCTTGGATCAGGAGAACAAAATGGTATACGATTTCAATGAATGAAGATATAATCCTATCTAGCGGATGATTGATTCAATTCAGAGGTTTAATTATCCTCACCGGATTGTTAATATTATGTCGCTAACGTTATGTGACAACGACCAATCAAATGTCATTGAAATTCGGAGAACATAATCAAAATTCTAATGGCATATTCATCAACGATTTGCCGTTTTATAGAGCGGAATATATTTCGGAGCGAGTTCGCTTGCATTTGCATTCGGTGTTCCCGTCTACATTCCGATATAGAATAGAAATATGTATAAGTTTTGATCGGTTAAAAACTCGCTCCTTATTCATTTTCTCCTTTCGAGGGGCGAACTGAAAAGAGGGTTGAAAGAAAACGAGCTGAGTACGAAACGCGGAGTCGCTCGAGCCTCGTGACGGTCTGACGAGAGTAGAAAGCGTAAGCTTTCGCTCGTTAAGGTCCGTAAATAACGGCGGCGTTGACTATAACGAGGCAATTTCCGGTTACGCTAGACCTACGTTCGTGTTTCTGTGACGGTGATTTGAATATACTTACCCATACCAATTTTTATGTGCTGCTATTCCATTCTCTTGACGTTTTAAGGGTTGCGTGTCAAGTTGCCAAGCTATCGTTTGTCCTGCATTTCCCCATATTATTTTATGCTGATTGGAGTTTGAGCTGTGTGGTCTCGAGCATCGAGGGTGGATTTAACATGCACCGCGCTTGTGCGCGCCTAATTTCTTATCGAGCGGAATTCTCATGAGAATTTTAGTTTATGAAGCATCGTATCGTTAATCGTATTAAATATTTATACATAGCTAAACTGTATACGCCTGAACGTTGTATGTTTGGTAGGACGCATGCATTACAATGAATAACAAAATTGTGTTAGCTTTGTAAATAACAACGAAGGGATCGAAATATCAGTTCAGAAAACTTGATTTATTACCAGAGTAATTTAATTTCAAATAAGTCGCGGATTTCGTTTAATAAATGATTGTCATTTTCTAACAATGATTTATAATCTTTGAAGATATTTCATTGTTCTTGAATGGAAGATGAAGGTGACAATGATAGAACGGTCAAGGTGAATTAACTCTTTGTTCCACCAAATCATTAGACGTCCCATTGTTTGAAACTTACGTGAATACAAAAGGGAGTGAATCTGCGATTTGTATCGTAAAATTAATCGCATTGAGATCGAAACTAACGACGGTATAGAATTGATGTATCGTAGTTTTTAACTCAGACGATATCTTATATTTTTTGTAACTTTTTTCACCGGAACGGTACTTCTACAAATAGAGGGTAATCTTATAAATCAACCTAATGCCTCAAAACTTTTTCCATAAACAGAAGGTGAAAATTGTTAGCGTTGGCGGAGCTATCTATTTACCAGCTTGATGAGAACACGTCCTCCCGTCCCCATTCTACTCTTAATAAATACGTATTTCTTCTCAAATACATACATTGCGAAATTCTTCTACTCTTTCAGCTTCCCTCTCCTAAAGAGAAGCACAAGTCAGGCTAATTCAATTCCCGGTAACCGACGGTTTCTTTGATGCTTATTAATTTTCGGTATGTTATATATTCCGGAGTCGAAAACAATGTAGTGCAATCCAGTTCGAAAGTGCAATTGATTATAAGTGCAGCGAGAGCACCGGAGAGTGCAGATGCATGACTTAAGTTGTCCGTCGTGAACCGTCCCTCTGTTTCCAGCCGGAGAGAGGTCTGTTGCTGCCAACTTCTACAAAGAGGACGTCTTCCCTTCCCGCCCTTTTCTCTCTCTCGTGTTTCTCCGTTCTTCGTCGTTTGGAACACGGAAGGGGCAAAGATGCAACGGCACCAGCAGCATCAGGAATCGAACAAGGTTGAAAATGCAGAAACTCTCTTTGGTAGGAACGGAGAAGAGAAACCTCAGTAGAAGATGAAAGAAGAGAGTGGTGTGTTCAATGAAGGATGTGGGAGAATCACTGACTATGAGAAGAAGGCGGTACCGAATTGATGGCCGACCACGCTTGTGGCATTTCAAAGAGGGGAACCAGGAAGAAGATGAAGAGAAGCGGACGAGGAACGAAAGCGAGGCACGGAAGAGGGAGAAAATTGAGCAGAAAAGGGAAGTAGGGAGAAAAGAGCGTGGAGAGAAGAGGAGAGCCGGAACGACCCGGGGGTTGCCGTGGCGTTATCGACCGGACCGGTGGTCGGTACGAAACCAGGCGTCGGCGCCGTGGATGCTCCGGCTTCCTCGAGTGCCGGACCATCCTCCACCTCCATATACTGCTACCACCACCAGCATCACCGTCGGCGCCTCCACCACCAACGAAGACAGCAGCAGCAGCAGCGGCGGCGGCGGCGGCAGCGGCGGCAGCGGCGGCAGCGGCGGCAGCAGCAGCAGCAGCACCAGCACCAGCACCGCCACCTCCATGGAGGTCGCGCGGTTGCCCATCAGTAGAGCCCGGGACAGACTGCCGATCGCGCACACGGAGGGTGCAGGTCGTCCCTGGGATTGGTCGTCGGATCGGGTTTGGTCGGTTGGTCGGTCGGTTGTTTGGTGCTTCCGTATGTACGTACGTGCGATCGGTTCATGAGAGACGCACATCTCTGGGGGTTTCTTTTCCCCTGTCTACTTGTTCATTTCTCCACGCACCCCTGCCTCGATACTGTCATTTATCGCGATCGACAAAAGCGTGGGATTGTTTTTGTAAATATCCATGGAAATGGTTGTGTCAGCGGAAGATGACAATAGATAGTGGTTGGTGATAAGAGGGTGCAGCTAGTGAAGTGGTGGACGAGTTTTTTTCGCGAGCCGAATACCGTACGGAACTGCATGAGTGCGGTGTGGACTAGACGTGGATTTGACACCGGTGTCTGAATCGTGTTCCTTTTAACGTTATTCACCACGATGTGTGTCGGATAATTTTACCCCAGACTGGATCAGTTTTTTGCGAGATGGCTGCTGTCGTGTTGTGGTACTTGCGTGGCGGTTCATTGACTGAACCGAGCCGGCTACTGTTGTTCCGTTGAGTGTGCTGACTGAGATACCCTCGTGGAGCTCTTGATGAAATTAGAATACGGTATGTTGAGACGAACAGCGAATGGATAATGATCGAGAGATCGATCTGGTTCTCGCTGCGCGATGCAAATCGATGCCATTCGTTAACGTACCCATCTAATCATGTAAATTACTAACTTTCTCGCTAGGACTTATGGTTTAATAGTAAACTACTTAGCGAAGTGATAACTTTGCTCCTTTCTACTCGAAGCCATTTAAGTTCGAAGGTATGCAAATACGTGGTAGAAGGAGAACTTTCAGTTAGCTTACAGTTTAATCACGGTTGAAAAGGTTCTTTAACTTGGTTGGGTTTCCGCTGCCTACTTTTCGGGATACCAAATAACAGCTGGTGAAACGATACATTGCGTCGTGCCGGATTCCCCGTCGATTAGATTTTCATTATTTCCACTGGTATTCCAGCATTTTTCAATTTTTACGTCTCTACTCTTATAATTATAAACTATTTCAATGTGATATTGTTGTGAAACGCAAATTTTAATTGACGAATTTATTTACATAAGTTTTGTTATTTTTTCTAAACAATCATAATTCATGTTTATTTTATTTTCTCTGGTAAATACACAGTCTAATTCGCAACTGTAAATTATGCGAGATTTAGGTCGATCGTTATCGTCGATCGATTCCCAAAGGTGACAGCAATTTCGAAACGCATAATCAAATTTGCTTGTCCATGGGCCAAGAGATTTCGAGCGGAAAGTGTCTCTCAATAATTCCTCGAGGATCGATTGCGCCAGCTTGGAAATTCGGAATAGACAGAGGCTGACTCTGGCGCATTATTAATCGTGCCGGTCGCCCCCAGCAATTAGTGCTAGCTAGGAATTTAATTTCGCTTGCGTACAACTCCTCTTCTCCGTTCCTTGCATCCCATTTCAGGATCCCGTATCGCGACGATGGTCTGGGGTTATCGATATCTCGGTCACTGACGAGTGACGGAAGCGGCGCGAGGATATAGACGGATCGTCACGAATCTGACGCGTAATCCGACGACACGCTGATCCTCTTTTAAAGTTCCAAAGCCTTGGTTGCAGCTGCGATCACGGAAACCTCTGATCGGCGACGAATCAGCAAGTAGTTAGTCGGGGTCGAACCGGTTGTGTCGTATCGAATAGTAATTATCGTCTTCTTATCTACAGTTCACGACATAATTACTTTAATGCTTTAATAACTCAAGTTTATATTCAATTTCTCGATACATTGCATAATAAGATTACGAATATTCATTTACTGGGAACTTTTTTGTTATTTATATAGCTTACAAGTAATGTAGAAATAGAATATAGAACAAATTCAATCATAAGTGGTTACAGGATGTTTGCTTTGGAAACCATCCATATGAGAATGTAGTTTATATTTTCGAACTCGCATATAAATTTAGCCAATCCAGTAATTCAAACGTCTCTTAAACTTTGCGAGTTTTAACCGCACAAATTCTTACCGAAGCACACCTTCGTAGTTTTGACGATCGTGCTGACCGTTTAGTTAAGAATTGCATTTTTTATGGACACAATTCACCATCGTCCTTAATATCGTAAATGAATACAATTGATCATCGTCCTTGGATCACTGTTGTTCCTATCCATTTAGATAATTGAGCGAATTCATTTCTCCTCTACTAAGCTAAATTCAAGTAACGCGAACATTTTTGCATTAATCGTAAATTAGTTGTAGGCCATACGCTTTCATAAATTTGTTTTCTATCGTTTATTCATTCGCTTCAGATTTTTGTAAAATTTTCCGCGTAGAATGTTATTTAGTTTTTAATGAAACCTAATTACTGTACATAAATCTATTAGGTTGTGGTAGCGCGTGGGTCATCTTGTGACCTCAAATCTCCACGATGCCTACAAAATGTTTATATACGATAGTCTTCGGAAATAAAACTTCCATTATGTTGTGAACAGTTTATTTAAATTTATTTATTTTGAATAATAAAAATATTATATAAACAAAATCAAATATTGTTATATAATTAAATTAAATATCTCCGTATAACTTTTATACTTTAGTTGAGGATTTTTCTGAAAATTCTATTCCTGCTCCAAAAAGTATCTTCAAAGTGCGTATTACACAGGTGCATGTGGAACAGTTGCGACGTTTCCCATGCAGAATATATTATAACCAGCGAAAAGTTGAAAATGTGTCAGCGTTCTTTTTATCTTGTTACGTTATTTTACGAACCTACATACTTTCTATCTGTAGTGACTGCGTTGTAAAGTCTTCCAGAGTTTGTCTCACAGAGACGTTATTCAGTCAAACGTTGTTCCTCGACGTAGATCCTCTTTTATAGAAACATATCGCAGCATTTGAATTCTGCATTACAAGCTTCGATATAATCTCGCGCAATGATTCACGTATATCCTACGGATTTTCTTCTCAATATTGTCTCATGTCTATAGTGGCTGTAGGAAATATTCTCACACTTTATAGAACAGAATAACTTTTTTAATATTGGTCCATAGCATTCGAATTTTTTTGAGGAGTTAGGGGGATAAAAATAATCACGATTCATCGAAATCATAGGCATTAAAGTAAAAGTCGTTCGGTAACTAAAATTTGTATAGGACGTTTTAAATATCTGTAAGTAGTAACATTAATCGATTTTTAATGAAATTTTTATCGCGTACGTGACTAATGTAAATTTTTGAAATGTGCTACATAAAATGTCATTGTACATCGATCAGTATTGTATGACCAATATTAAAAAATTTATTCTGTTTTATAAAGTGTACGAATACTTTCTACACGCACTGCTTCTTTCCGTAACATAATTTTTCATCTTTTTAATATACAATTTGAAAACACCTGCGAAAAGTTATCTTTACAATAAAATGAAAATCAGTGGAAAGAGTTACAGATTGACTTATTGTTATTGTGTGAGGGGATTTATAAGCACACCGCAATTAGTTTATTCGTGGTTCGATTTTATTAATAGAAGCATTGTCGATTCGGAGTTCTGCGGGGTCAGGCAATGGGCCGCGTTTAAAGCAACCGTGCAAGTTTGAAATTGGAAATTCTCGCATTGCCACGGAACCGGTATTATTGAGTTTTTGTGTCATTTGCGGCAACTCCAAACCGGCTAGCCATGTTACAAATTGAGTTGTCCGACAGTAATTCCCCGGTGGACTGAAAAAGCCGGTTTAAGCGTCTGCAGAAGCATGAAACAAAAGCAAACCCGGTGCCAGATTGTAATGTTATTATTCCATTAGTCCCTGACGGAGTCACACTTCATTTCTATGCAACACAATTTCGGTTCGGAGCTAATAAGTTTAGAGGCCTTCGCGTTTCGACCATGGATTTACATTCTGTTATTGTGGTCTCTGTCCTAAACATTGTCTCACCGCAGGTGGTATTATATATCACCTCATGTGACGATTAACATAAGATCTGTGTAATATTATCATATTCAAATTTTCAAAATCACACCATAAAATAGTTGAGGCAATTGTACAAATGTTATACGAATTTTAATATTCTTCTAAAACCTGTATTTTTTAAACGCAAATAATATTCAGACATTTTCTTTATTTTTGTTGCAGAAAAATCGTTCTGTAGGAAGGGTAACTGACACTATTAGCGTACGAATAAAATCAAGGAATTGATTAATAAAGCTACGAATATACTTTGATAAAACCAAGAGTACTCGTCTTGAGAACTGCCAATTCGTCCCCGATAATAATCTGCTCCGTATTGTCATAACATTCATGAAATATTCGGAATTGTACAAAGTAAATGGACAAGAAGAAATCATTGCTAAATCATCCCACAAGTTTCTCGTGATCCAACAATTGGTGGCAGTAGGTATAACTGAAGCCTCGCCGCCGATGCTTCCCTTAAAATCATTCACCTATGTCGATCCGAGCTCGTCGTTCACTGGACGAACGGCAGCCACGACGACGAGCGCGATATTATCGAGAAACGACGACTTTCTGGCGACGCGGAAGTTCGTTGCCGGCTACGCACGTCCTCGAGGATGGAACTGAGAGCCTTCCTGCCGATCACCGCGTTCGCACCGATTTTTCGTGAGTTTTCGGATAGTTGGAGGACCGAGTCGGGAACAAACAGTGTGCTGCATCAGGTGCTGGGTGCGGAAAGAGAACGTGAAGAGACTAATTTTAAAAAGAAAGAAGTTAGTAAGAAATTTGGGAAATCGGAGAACCAAGGAGAAGAAGAAAGTTGCAACGAAAAAGCGCGACAAGGTTTCTTTTGGGACACAGAAATAGTATTATCGTTATTAGTGTTAAATACTCAGAAAAGGCAAGAGAAATCGAAGGAGGAACAGGAGCTAGGAAGCGATAAAGAGGTGAGAAACAATTCAGAAGATAACAACGAGGATAAAGATTTAGCAGAGAAGAGAAGAGAAGAAGAAGAAGAGGGTGGTCCCTTAGCAGGAGGGCCCCACAGATGCGGGGCCCGGAGAGGCCAGTCCGCGGCGGCGTGACGCGATGCGGACGTCCTCCTCCTCGTTTCCGAGGAAGAGGAAGAGGAAAGACCTCTCGCCTCTCGGCCCTACCAAAGGACTTTCTTCGTTGGACAATAGCTACGATCAGTCGTTTATCTTCCATGATGTATACTATGACGGATATGGCGTCCTCCACTGTGATCCAATACATCAGCAGTGCCTTCGGCCGGAAGCTGCTGGTAATTATGGGAAGTTTCACGCGTCCATCGAACTCGAGGATCGTTTGTCGATCGGTAATCCCTTCGGAAAGGAGGCGAAAGAGTGCGACTTTTGTAAAGACAACGTTGAAGGAGCCGCGCGAACGCGTTACAAGAACAGAGGAGACAAGTCGAAAAAGTGTCTGGCAACGATCGTTGTGTTCCTCGTTCTGTTGTGCGGACATTGGTGTTCCGGTAGCGCGGAAGCTCTCGCCGGAAGTCAGAAGTACAGCACCAGGACAGTCAGGACTAAATACGGAACGCTGCGCGGCGTTGAGGCTAGATCATCGACGTCCGTCGAGACTTACTACGGCGTGCCTTACGCTACGCCGCCGATCGGAGCGTTACGATACATGCCACCAGTTACGCCGACACCGTGGCACGGTACCAAGTTGGCGGACACCATACCACCTGCATGTCCACAGAAACCACCGGAACCGAACTCGAGTCTGCCGCGGTCAAAGCGCGTCTACCTTGAGAGGCTAGCCCCGTTACTGGCTAACCAAAGCGAAGACTGCCTATACTTGAACTTACACGTGCCCAAACCTCCTCATGGTGAGTCAAAAATATATTTCGATTTTTTAAAGTTCGTTCGGAAAAGATATTGCGACGAAATAAGTAGAATAACTGTTTCATCCAGACACGATGTTCGGAAAATCTCGTGATTTTAATACGTGACGCAAGTTTGGTCCTGGCTTTTCCGAACACTCTATGTTTATAAAAGTGGAATAGTCAATCATTCACTCAATGATTAATTACAAAATCTCGAGGAGCACAAAACCTAGGTAGTTGACACTTTTTCCGAAGGTTACTCAATGAACACAGATTTGCCCTAAATCTCTTAAAAACTGCCACTATATAATAAAAAATAATAATCCGCAATGTAGTATGTGCGTAGCGAGTGAAACTGTCACAAGGAATGCTAGCGCTCTTATACTTTTCATGATACTAGATCACATTTGTTTCTCGAATGTATAGTTTCGATGTTCACGGAATATTACAGAAATGGTCACTGCATAAGCGTTCCTTATCTGACCATGTTACGACTTTAAAGACTGATGCGCCGTTTAGATATGAGAATTTCCATACCGGCGGTGAACTTGGAAGTATAAACGCTAGTTATGTAAAATTATTCATATGTCAAATAATCTTACACGATAAGCAAAATGCCCGGCAGGTTAAATTAAATGAACATACATGATACATTCGTCTCTGTTAATATGTGAGAGTGATCGCGCTAAAACTAGTAGCATTCACATTTTCCATCGATTATTTTTCATTCAACGGTTGTATTTAACTCATCGTTTATGTAGTGTTTGATATTTCAGTGATTCATAATTTTTCGCTTGTAAGCTTATTTGTATTAACGTTTGTCTGCATAATAGATCGTTTAAGTATCATGCATGGTATTTGTAGATTTTTGTGTTTCATAAAGTACGAAAAAATGGTTTAATGCTATTTTTTTAAACAAAGCAAAATTCAAATAAAAATATGGAAAACACAAGGTACAGGTTCAGTTAAAAATAACTCAGTAAATTATAAGGATGATTGAAAATAACCCTAACTGTGGCAAATCGTAAATATATACGGAGTAAAATCATTGTAGCAAATAATTATTTTTATAAACTGATACCATAAATATCTTATTTTTAATAAAAATTTAATTATAGATTATATTGATATATTCGAAATTGTTCCAATTTAAATTTGATTTATAATAATAGATAATGAGAGGAAACAAGATAGTGTATTTCAGTTGGAAAGTGATTACGTCAGAAATTTGCGACGTTTCATGCACATCAATGTAATGTAATGAAATGGAGTAGAAAAAAAGAGATTATTTCGCACAATAGATATCTAGAAATAAGTTTAATTGTATCACCCTTGTGCATCAATGATACTAGGTTCCCACAAGTAAATTTTTCAATCGAATGTACACGAGCTACCGAATTTTGTGCATAGTCGACGGAAATGGAGTGCTTTTCGACGAGAGACCGCCACGTCAATTGCAGAGTTGGCAATTCCTTTCTTTTCCTCTATTTTTCTATTCTTGCACAATATTTGAAGGAAAAAGAGAAAATACACTTCTTCGTTTGATCAAATGATGGAACGCTAGAATGGAAAAGTTTCTTTTCGACTCACAGAGTAAAAGAAATTCGGATCATTGCTTCTGTGAGGTAACCTACTTCAGAATTTTGAAATATTTTGATTGTACTTTAGTTTTTCTTCAAGTAGAGGATTGTGGCACGATTGATTCACTTTTTCAAGTTGTTAGTCAACGTAGGATTCATTTCAACGGACAAACAGAATCAGTGAACGTTATGTCTGATCATTCCTATATCATGCTACTGTCAGTAGAATTCTAGTAGTACAACACATCTATCAGTCAGACTTATGGTGCTAGACTCCGATAGCGGCGCAGAATGTCGATGTTATTCACTATATTGGCTAAAAATATGGCTTAACGCCAGTCGATGTACTGATACTTAGTAAGATAAGTGTTACAAAATGAAGCAAAAATCTTAGTTACAATGCGTCGATTTTTAAGCAATTTTATAAAAAAGAACGATTGTGATAATGAATGAAAGGACCAGAGTAGTCTGGAAATAGCCCCTTATGCATTGTTTGCATTGGCAAAGCACAAAATTACTGTGTTGTTGCAAAGAAGAAAGGCCACTGAATTTAATATAGACTATACAAAAAAGGAAAGTCAGTAGAATAATAATAAACTGTGGCATCATGTTTGAACTCAGAAAAACCGCACCGACTTGCTGGTGCACTTAATATTCCGACATAGAGCAAGCGGCTAAACTTTTAGGACGAAAACGCGCATACAAAACAGTTTCCCCTTTACTCCGACGAACATGGTGGTTTGATCAAAGGTAGAGAGAAGATCCGGACAAAACCGTTTTACACGGTAGACATGAAAAAGAAGGAAAATGAGTAGGTCACTGAAGTTTCGTTTTACTCAAGGTCTCGGGGTGCCGATTACCGAGTCCTCGATACTCGTATTGTCTCGACGTTGCTTTTTCCGTTTCCTCTTTTTCGTCCCGATTTCCTAGGATTTTGAGATGCAGACAAGAGAGGGGGCCGAAGGAAAGAAAAACGGAAGAAAAGAGAGGAGCGTCTACGACAAAAGAATGGTACAGCATCGATCGGTACGTCGCGACGCTTTTCTGATTGCGAGCCAAGCGAAACGAGGAGACGACGCGAAAATCTAGACTACCGTATCCGCCGTTAGCTTCGGAGCTGCTCTTTAAGCGACTTGAGAAAAGGTACTTCTCCGCGATACGGATTTTCTTCTTATCTGCGCGGAACTATAGTCCCGTTTTAACGTACTTCGTTATTATAATACTCAGCGGAGCGGTCGATGTATACTGCCGCAAATAATACTGACTCACTCGAATATTAAGCACTTCACCATTCCCAGCAGAATAATTACCTTGTTACCTGAATATGAAATACATTGCCATTTATGAATTTCTTATTGTTAGTATTAGTGGCAGCGTATTTTATGATCGAGGGTTATGCCTCCTCCTTCATAAATTCGACTTAGGAAGATATTGATTCCATCTAAGCGTGAAATATATTTCTATAAAAAATTGTACCTTCGCATTGCACACGGATAACTAGATTTCTGTATTTCAGTGAAATATCAAATACCATTTACGAATAAGGGTACGTTACATAAGTTTTTGACGGGATTGATTTAATAAAATCGATTTTCACTATGAAAAAAATATAACCGTCACCTATTATAAGCAAGGATATTTTTATCGTCACCCGAGAAGAGAAAGTTGTTGGGCGTGGTAGACGAGCGTAACTTGCCTCGAGTTTACGTCGCATCCGATATTAATAGCCAGTATATCAGGTGAAGAGAGTGGAGCGTAGGTGTCTGATTAGGTTTCTCTTTGGCTGTACGCAAAATGAACAGATAAGAGTGACAGGCTCTCTTGTAAGATTAATTTTATTTCGAAAATTTTCATGCTATTTCGGTAGATCTATTAATCTCACTTGTCAGTATGCAATGCATATGTTCACGATTTAATAAGATTTACTACGAGTTCTTTTTGTTTCAAAATATATGGTGGATAGGTCTAAAGGAGCGAAGCTTAATTATTATTTTACATTAAATCTAATCTTTTATGTCAGCACCCGACTAGACATTTATCAAACATGCGTATACTTCCTGTCGCAAGGGTTAATATTACTTTATTAATTTATTACATACGTATGAATAGATACCTAATTGCAATCAAGAATTAATTCAATACAGAATAAAGTAACGATTACATATATATATCGAAACACGAGCCACAGGATAAAAAGGTCCGTCGCGTCTGACCATCGAGGCGTTATACTACTTACAGTTCATTGTCGCGAATAATGAAACGCATTGATCCCAAAGAAAAATTACATTATTGTATTCATTCTTTTTTTTAATTGTTCTAGCAATTAATTTTCATAATACAGCAACTTTAATTCGTACATATAGATATTGAAAAAATGTTCTCACATTTACAATGATTTAGTTTCGATCCTATCGGAAAAGGAGATCATGCATATACATAAATCCGTATTTCATTAGTATTCAAAAAACGAAACAGGGGATTGTCCGTGTGAAATGAAATTGGCCAGTATCCAATATTTGACTCCTTGTCGAAAAGGAGAACGCGGATGCAAATAATGCATATTTCATGGCTTTTTCAAAAATCAAAATAACGTATTATCGGCAGCCATTGAAGTCAAGAATTGGGATGATGAAGTTTGGGGGCCGGAGAAAATTTATTCGCGGAACACGCGAACGGCTAAATTTTCCGTGCCGCTCGCAGCGGTTGAAGTGATTTAAAAGTTTTACAATGAGCAAATTCCAATTCTATGGCAAGGCGCATAACTTCGTTATTTAATATCTGAGTTTTACGTTTTCATCTGGCTGATATTAATCACTTGGCTACCACTGAACTTGTGAAGTATTTAATACTTGACTAAAACTTTATATTATTAGATGCTCCTTTCTTACTTACTTATGTTTTAAATATTACAGAGAACTGTTGTATTTAAGTGATTAGAGAAGTTTTAGGAAAGTTTATCTTCCACAACTAGATAATTGATGTCGATCCATCTAGTTTTGTTTTTATCAAGAAGTTATCTGAAATTCAATATATAGTCAACTTGCAAATACGATTTTTTTCTATTTCTGCATTTTGATGAATGACTGACAGTGAGGAACTTCGTCGAACATACTAATTCAGAAAAATATACGCGAATGCGATAGTTGTGAATTTGAAACCAGAATTCTAATGAGAATGCGAATAAAATGGGAGTGCATGTACGAGTGCAAGCTTTTAGTTACTACAACCGAAAGCACCGAATGAACCCTCAAACTCAGCCAAGTGGAATGAGAATAAAAATATAAACAATATCGAGGAGCCGATGTGATGCGCTCGGCGGTCAGCGAGCAGAGAACTTCCTGGACACGAACGCGGGGTCCCAAGGTTGAAATGCAGTCAACTGGAAATGCAAGATCAGTAGACAGCGCTTTTCCGGTCTCAATT